CCTCATCCTCTCGTCTTCGTGTCTTTATTTTATTTTTTATTTTTTTTTGAACCGTGTGGGACTTATCACGATCGCCGGTGATTTTGTTCAGCAACCGTGAACGGAGCACATTGTAGTCTGCTTAGTGACCCAAGTCAGGGTCGCAGGTCACTGTCACACGCCGCCGCCGCCGCCGCAGCAGCAGCTGAAGAAGTGGTTGAGGTTTGGTTCCTTTTCCAAGGAAATCCTCTTTAATAATAATTATAATGTTGATGATGACCATATCATCGACAGGATGTGTGTATTCCTCTTCTGATGTTGACTCTTGCAGCAGCAGCTGTGTGAAAAGTGAACCGTGAAAGTGGTGCATCTAATGCTGACAGTTGTTTCGTAATTTATGTTAAAGCGCCTACTTTTAAAAAAAAGAAACGCATAAAATTAAAAAAAACAATTGAAATTAATCAGCGGTTCCCAAACATTAATCATATGTTTATGCTAAAAGCACTCATCTTTTAGCACACTTGCATAATCGATAAGAGAATAATATCAAAATTGTTGCGACTATAGAAAAATTGGGTCTATATCGAAATCACAACTGTATCGAAATCCCGGCTATATTAAAATCCAGATTATGTCAAAATCCCATTTATTGAAATCCCGACTGTATCGAAATCCCGAATATATCAAAATCCCGACTATGTCAAAATCCCGTCTATTGAAATCACGCCTGTATCGAAATCCCGACTATATCAAAATCCCGACTATGTCAAAATCCCGACTACCATAAAAAAGTTATTGTAGATATTTTTAATAATAAAAGACACTGTCAGAATTTTGATAAATTCGGGATTTCGGTTGTCGGGATTGCGATTGCCACCGAGAAAAATCGTGTTGTACTTCGGGCGTTTTCGTACCAATTAAAAATGATGTAATTTATGAAGATAGAATATGTCTTATTATTTACATTATTCCTTCCACATTTGATTAATAATTCAATTTTATTGTTATTAACTTTCAATTGGTTTTGTTCAAGTTTTAGTTGAAACAAAGATAAACAGTTGCAGTTAAGCAAAGATAATAAAACAATAAAATCAACTGCGAAACATCTGCAGGTGTTAAAAGGTTGAAAAACACTGGCTTAGATAATAAAAAAACATATCCTCAGAAAATAATAACAATTATTTCAGATGTTCTTTTATTCGAAATCGCGTATTATTGTCTATGTTTCGTTGAGTCAGCGGTTCACAAACGCTGCGAAATATATACGAAATTAGACGGAAACGCCCGATTTAAGACGACACGAAGAAACACCTGCACCTGTGGATCTCAAATGTTAAAACAATTCGCGACGTTTTTACACAGCGATGAATTATCTGTGTTGCTGTGACTCTCAAACATTGAGCGTTTTGCACACCTGCACGATAGATAAGAAATAAATTAGACGGAAACGCCCGATTTAAGACGACACAATAAATCATCTGCACCTGCGGATCTCAAATGTTAAAACAATTCGCTGCAGATCTCACGAAAAATTTGTGCGTTTTGTTTCAAATTCTATACATTATTTTTTTTTTGTTACAAAAACTATTTATATATTTAATAAATTTCATTTGTAAATTTGAATTTATATTTTTAGTACTCCCAGTTTGGAAAACGCTGATCTAAAATGTGCACTTTTTTCGTTCTCTTCTGTATTGCATTTTTTTTTGCGGTGAGTCCGGGTTAAATTCAAAAAGTAAATTTTTTATATAATTAGAGCTGACAATTATATCATTTAAAATGCAAATTAAAGATAAAACTATGATTTTTCCAATGAGCCCATTGTCAGATTTGTGATTTGCGCCGTTCGTCTGTTATGAGCTATGAAAATTGAGCAACCAATTGTGACTTAGTGAAGAAGTATCTTTACTTTTTATTTAATTACTTAATTACTACGCTTATTAATTAACTTATTAAACATGCAAATTATAGCTAAAATTATGACCTTTTCAATAAGCCTAATGTTTCGCTCAGTGGCGTTTGCTATTTCCTTGTATTAAAGTATCAAAATTTGATGTTCATTGAATCTAATACGAAATATTAGTATTTGTTTAAAACGAAAGGTGTGCAAGTCTTTAAAGACTTTTAAGACCTGTTGGAACAGCTGATGTCCTTTTGGAAAAGAAAGGTATCTTGAAGAAGTTTCAAGGGAAGAAGTCGAAGAACAGCTGTTGGATGAACGATGGTTGGTTGGAAAGGAAGAGCAGGTGCGCAACGCAAAAGGTCTCTAAGACACACCTGTCCCTCTTCTGGAGCGAAAGAAGTTTAAAAGGAAACAAGGATCCCAATTGAGGAAGAGGAAAAGAAATAAAGAAAAACGTGAGAGAGAAATGGAGAAAACGAAACTGAATTTTCTCCTCCGCAAAATCGAGCGCATTTCCATACGAAAACAAGTTGAACGAACCATATAGTATATATATTATCATATTTTCTTCGCCGTTTCCTCCTGCTCCTTCTTCTTACATGCTTTAGAGAACGAGAACCATTGGACACCGATTATTCATTCATTCATTGGTTATAGGCGAATAGAAAAAGTGTGGGCGGACATTTCTCTCTCTCTCTCTCTTACTCTTGCTGTGTTATGCAATGAATATAATTAATGATAAGTAAATTCAATCGGCGAAATTAGTCAAAGGTGGTGGTGGATGATGCAGAGGTTACTCTGACCAAATCCGTATGCTGATGATGATTGATTCGCTCCGAATGCAATTAAAGCACCTCGACTTCTCGTGGTGCGGATATTGAGAGATCTCTCTTTCCTTCTCTTTTGGTTGCAACTTTTTCGGATTTTTTTTCAATGAAGCTGAGAGAGATGCGAAGAAGTGAAGTGAAGAGGAGAAGAGAGAGCAGAACAGAGCAAAGCGAAGGTCGCCTCCGGCAATTATAGTGTGTATACTCTGTATAACCAAGGTCGATACAAATTAGATGTTCAGCAACCGATACCACCGATGCTATAGACTCTATATAGTAAAGACAGAGAGAGAGAGAATAGGAAGACGCTAAATATCTCTGGAAACCTCAGAAGAGCTTTTCCACGTGCGCCGCATTTCGCAATCGAAGTCCTCCTACTAGGATAAGCGCACAATTAGATTTAGTAATTGAATTAGACTTTCGTCAAGGATTCCACCACCCTATTAATTTTCGCTTCCTGCTGCAGCAAATATATATTTCTGTCTCTCCACGATTTACTTCTTACAGCACATTTACACAAACAACGAACGGCGTTGAGAAAACACCTCTTCTGTTCTTCGGCATTAAAGAAGTTCAGGTTAAAAATAGACGCACAGCTTATGCAGAAGGATATTTATATTGTCCGGCCTACGCGTTTCGAAATAATCAAGATTTCAGATTAGCCTACGCTCGCACACAAACAAACAAATGACTTTCTATACACACACACACACACATAAACAAATGAACATAGGTGGAGGGGAAAAACGAGATAGAGATGATCATTGAATCGCGTAGATCAACGGTCGGGGAACTTTTGTAACCATTACCCCAAAATATTATTGCGTAATATTACCCCACCCCCCATTCTGAATTCATGAAACAATCAATGTAAATTTTAAATAAACATTTTTTATTGAATTAATTTGCATTTACATATTTATATAAAAAAAAGTTACATGAAAATAGTAACAAATAGTAATAGACAAACAAAATAAAATTCTTAAATTGGAACAAACAAAAATTAATTGAAAACTTTCCCCCTTCAGGTTTGGAAACATGATGTTGGTTTATGTTTGATATAATTACTTTAAAATTGGGACTTTTTCAATCAATTTCTGTTTTTCGTTTTTATGTTTATTAGAGTGGAAAACAAAGGTAGGTTGTTGCAAATGGCAGCAATTTTTTTACCGCCTCCTCATGTGCAATTTTGAAAGCCTTTGCAGCCTTTGACAACCAAAAAGACGACAAGATTTGCTTTGGTCTCAAATTGGAGCTTCTTCTGGTATATTAGTAATTTCACATTTAAAAGGATCTACAAAGATCTATCAAGATCTGAAAAGTAGTCAGAGCACCGCTCTCTGAGTTTCGTAAGATGAAATTAGAAAAATTTCCCTATTACCCAAAAAAAAATCATTTTTACCCCATTTTGGGTAAGAGAAGATTCTCATTGTGTTTTAGTTTAGTTGCGTTAATTGCAATATTTGCATAAGTAAATCGTATAGAAATTAGGTTCCGAAATGTCACTTGTAGATTTGCAATATTTCCATTAATTAAATCTATACATTTATTACTTAATCTTTGATATCGCTGAAAAATTCCAATCATATTTTTGCAATAAATTGTGTTTAATGGAACGTGAATGAATTAATCTTATCTACACCTTAAAATAGTTTTATAAGACATTCACTCTATACTTGATTAAACGAGACAATGAATAGGATACAATTAATATAGTTTTAAATTATTATATAATATACTTAAATGATTGAGTTGTAATTTAATAAAATTTTAACAGTTTTCTGCATAATCAATCGAGGATAAAGAGTAAAAGTGTTTGTTCAAGTCATTATTGTGTGTTTGCAATTCTTAATTAGTCGGTTTTGTTGTTGTAAATCTTCGATTGCACCCATAGAATTCGTTCCAGTTTTCGAAATGGAAATTCAGCATGTTCGTTACCTTGTCTTGTTCTCCGGTTGAAGAGAAAAGTATAAGAAGACACTCTCTACGAAGTCCGTATAGATTTGCATAAAATCAATGAGTTGCTGCTGCTGTTGCGTGCGCGATCTCGAGAAATGCGAGAATCACTTTTCGATTCGGTTTCTCTCCTTTCCGCACAACAATTAAAACGAAAGAAAAAAGCGTTTTCCTCGCGGCGGAAAAGCCCTTGAGCTTACTTATCGGATCTGCACCAAAGCATGAAAGCTCTTGGGTGCGTTGGCGATTCCAATCGATTCCGGTCAACTCATAATATTCTACTTTTTTTTTTTACTTTGTTTGCTCATTTTGAAATTCGTTTTCTTGCGTTACAGTTGGATGATGCGGCTCTGCAGTTGTACAAAGACGGCGACTATGGATCGTACCTGGATCTGGACGCATCCATCAGCGAGCAACAAGAGGAATTCGACGGTTTCCACACAAAGTAAGTGCAATGTTAGATGGAATTTGATATTCGCATGTTAGATGGCATCACAACCGATCGCTATTTAAACTACAATTAATACTGTATTTTATGCATAAACATTCGTTGAATCCAACAAACGAGACAGTTATGTAAACTAACCGCTAATTATTAAGTTTTCGAGGCTCGTGCACTTTTAATGGCACCGGTTTTTTTTTGCCCGTTTTGGTTTATACGTTTAATCTAGGATGTAAGAATGAAACAAAACACTCGATTTGTGGTTGCGATCATCAAGTCGTCGACGATTCGCTAATTTCCAGCTAATAAAGCACGTGTCCTTCTTGCGGATTCAAATTTCCATAACGATGAGATCTGTTTGTTTGTTTCTTTGTTTTTTTTTTTTAATATTCGTTTCGTAATTAAACTCAAATCGTTTTATTATTATGATTGATTTCGAAGGACGAACGCATTTAAAGCAATGGTTCAATTGTTTCGTCGAGAAATCGTATTGGCCTGGCAGGATGATCCAACTTGTGTCTTTGTAATTAACATCAAATTTCGTAAAGTGAAACTTTAGTTTACAATTAGAAAATAGTTGAGTTGTTGAGCTTTTCGATAAATCCGTTGCATCGGTTCAGTTTTACAGTATTTCGGGAAGTTACGAGTTGGTAAATAGCTGAAGGATTAAGCTCGAATGCAAAACGTAAAGATGTAGTGGATTTATGTTTTATTTATATTCCCGTCTCAGAGCGATGCGTAATGTTGGAGGATTGCCCTGGTTTTATTTTCGACGCGCGTATTATTTCATAACGCGCGACATTTTTTCGCTGAATCAGCTTTTTCAGTTGATTTTCGTACCTGCGTCGGGACGTCGTTTAGTGAAAGAGACGAAGAAGCCCAGATAAATGTGATTCTCCTCCATCTACCATCAATCAATCAATCAATCATGGGTTTTTTACTTGCAGATTTGGTCGCATATTCGCGGTGAGTGAAACCAAAGGAATAAGAAACAATAATTAACATGACCTAATGACTAATTAATTACAATTTTCACACCGCACGCGAACATCATTATTTATAATGAAGATTTCCAATTGCGTTTTCGCACTTTTTTTCTTTTTCGCAAACGACAAAAAAACTTTCACCCGTTCTCACCCACAACTCGAAGCAGGAAAGAGTTTAGTATTATTGGAGGTCAAGATATCGTTTCAAGTTTTAATTGGAGACGTTTTTCGTTAATTAACGCATTCCTACTTTCGTAATTTTATGCGAAACTCTCATATCGCGATTATTATTATTATTAAGATTATTTATCGATTTCCTTCTATCCCCTCGATTAGTTTTAATTGGAATCGTAGACAGATGGTCTCTAATGATCAAATTTTAGCATCTGATGCGTGTGCAACGTTAACGTTTGATCGTTTACATGGAAAACCAATAAAAATTGTTGTGCGAAAATTTACACTTTTTTTTATTATTATTTGTTCTTAATGTGTATTAAAGTTACGTCTTGCGCAACGGGATTTTCGAGTTGTGTTTTTTATATATATATAATATTAATTTTAGATTCGCTCGTGTAAGCCCATTAGCATACTTAATTTATCGCTGCGTGATCGATTGCGCCTTTTGATCCTTGAAAGGAATTTTATTGCGGATTTCTCGTTCGTTCGTTTTTTTTCTTCTCTTTCTTTCTTCCTTCTCTCTACTCGCATAATTCCTTTTCCTACTCTCTCGTTTAAACTTTTAAATCGCTAACTGAACTCGGCTTTAATTACCCAATAATTACTGCGGCGCCGTTGCGCAATCGAAAGCATAAAAAAATAATAATGTAAAAACAGTTAGACTTGATTTACATTGAATTGACATATTTTTTTCATTATTATACTTTTATATCTTATATCATTTACTTAATTTGAAATTCTTTTAATAACGTTATTTTAATTAATTAAAACAAAAACGTTGGTTGTTGTAAAAGTTTGTTCACCTTTAATTGCTTTAAACCTACGCTTCTTTTTAAGAAACAGTGTTTCCTTCAAATTTATTATGTCAACTAGTGAAGTGACTCATGTAGAGGTAGAAAAAAAAAGTGCGATTATTCAAAAACTTCCTCCTACATTGAACAGTTTTTTCTGTAAATCATTAAGATTTTGCAAGCCTTTTTAAGCTTTGTCGTTAACACGAATTCCAACTGTAGACGAAACAATAGTTGTAGCTTTTTGTGTGTGTCTCTATTTTTTTTTTATTAATTGGGTAATTTGTCGTATAAATATACGAAGTTGAAAATAGCTGGTGAGTTTGAAATATTCTCACACACAACTAAAACCACGCACATGATTGCGAAATTTGGCATGCGGACAACGCACAGCGCTCATGATGATGATGATTGTTGGTTCGTTGGTTGGTTGGTGTGTTGGTGATGATGGGAGACTCGGAATATATCATCAAAGGTCGTTCCAACAATAAATTGCAACACTTGCGTTTGAATGCGCCAGAATCGACGTGCGTTTCACGCATTGTTCATTTTCTCTCTCTTAATGATGAAATTGCAAGAAAACATTAGAAAATTCTTCTTAAGGTTTTTGAATTATTATTGCTTAAATATTTTGTTATTTTTTTCTTTCTTTATATCCATTAAATTAAGTTTTTAAAGAGGTGAAGTAATAATTAAAGTTGCATCCAAATTAGTTTAGTCAGTATATTTTTTTATGCTATAATATTTGTTCATTTGGAAGACATGAAGAATTAGTAGACTAATAGCAATGCAAAAAAAAAGTTAATTTTATTCAACGCATATATTCAAAATTTCTATATTTTTGTATATAGATGTACACTTTAAATTGAACGTTCGAAAAGCAGTGTTTTTACAATTCATTGATTTACTCGAAAACTATAATACATAGAATTAATCCAAAAGACGCATATGAAAGCTGAGTGTTTGGGGAATCTAGCATATCTTGATATATTA